AAAGGCAAGGTAATGAAGATTCTTGCACTCTGAACATAAACATCCCTTCTCCTGGGGAAGTCGTGCTGAATCCACAGGAGGGTTTGCCGGTGGAAGTCTCCACCCTCCCCCGAATTAGGCCACATGACTTGAGGAGTGAGGGTGGGGCTAGCTAAGGCCAGAATCTCTGGAAACTTTCCTATGCTTGGAGTCATGGGAACTTGTCTGACTTTCCATTTGGAAATTGATCACCTCGATGAATTGTCCCACCCTATCTATTTGGGATAAAGGAGATTGGTGTGGTCACCACAGCCACCATAGACATTGTCATCATTAGCATGACCCACACCAAAGGCCAAGGCAGTGCACTTGGCTCGGAATGCAGCTAGGGCTTGCTCCCTAAGTCCAGGGCTGTGTTAGGTCAGGCTCAGCCCCTTGAGACAGCTCACCTGCTCTTTTGGGTGTTCTAGCATGACCTTTTCTGGCACAATATTCTTAAGAAAACCAGAAATGTCACCACAGAGCAGACCAAAGACTGCCAGCCCAGAATTCTGACCACAGCCCTAAGGAAAAGTGCGAGGGAGAGTCCAGTGTTTATATTCTACAACACCATTCCGAAAGGCTAGAAATGCATTTGGAACGTCCCTAATTTCCCTTAATAATCTGCTACTTATCTATCCATCCGCTAATCAAGACTCTTCTGGAACTCGTNTTCCCTTAATAATCTGCTACTTATCTATCCATCCGCTAATCAAGACTCTTCTGGAACTCGTGTTTCAGCTGCCTTGTGCAGGGTATAAGTTTCTGCTCTGCTCTGAATTTGTCCCCGTGCAGTCTGAATTTGGGTGACGGGTCCTTGCACAATGCAGGTGCTGTGGCCCGGAAACCTGGACCATTATCTGAGGATCCCCAGCTTTCATGGAGCTTCCTTATAGTCTCTCCTCTAGACCAGCAGCAGGGCCAAAAAGTACCTTCCAGAATGTCACAAACCCACAGAAGGCTCAATCCACCAGGCAGGACTTTTTGAAATTGAGAAAACAAGAAAGTTTGAGAACCACCAGTGGTGGCCAGCATCCTGAGGTTAGAGAGGAAAGGACGGATGAATGTATCTCACGGCAGTTCCTTAA